AAATATTCTTACACTCCAATGAGATGTATATCTATATTTTCCATGTGATATATTCATGTGATATCTCCATGTGATATTGTCTGTTGACTCCAAAATTAGGGTTCATTTCCAGAAATATTGAAAAATATATTAAAGAAAATATTGTAGAAAAATTTAGGCAAGAAAATCTGGTGGTGAAAAGGTAAATGGTGGGAAGTATTGCACTAAAATCTTTGCAGGATTTATGTGAATTAAGTCTACTTTAGAATAATTGTAGTAAAATGACTTTTTAATGACATGCATGTATGGCTTTTATGTAAAAAACAATAAAAAATCTATTTTGAATATAAAAATGGTTTATCGTGATGTCTTACAATGCTGGTAGTTTATTTAAAAAAAATTCTATATTTAGATAAATCCATGCATGATTAATCAGAGAATAAGTGTTTGCTTTGTGTTGCTGGATTTAATTGGTCCATATCCTTAAACACACTAGGTTATGAAGGTTTTCAGCCAATCAGCATTAAGCTTGTCCTGAAACAAATGAGTGTAACATTCAATAAATAGTGTAGATGCATTTATATATTCTGAAAATGTTTGGTTTTTCGTTTATGGGTGTAAAAACAAAGTTGTAATTTTCAGTGCAAATAAAATATAGCTAATGATGATGTGGAAATGTATGTTCCCTCTCCCCCATGACAAAGTAGCTTATTGATACAAATATTTAGTACTGAAGTAATCGATAAAATAGTTCCATTATCAAGAAACCACTTAATGGCTTATTGTTACATCATTTATTGCAACATAACTAAAATAATCTATGGTCAACCGCTCCTTAAAAATAATAATTAGAAATCTGTAAGCATGTCTACATCTACAAATGTACAAAGAATGATACATTAATAACAAATGATAGTGCATGGCAGTAGTCAGGGTAGTGCTTGTCGTTGCTTCCTCATGCCTTTGTTGATATGGTTTCACACACTGTCACTTTCTCTATCAGTAGCTAAATGTGCTTACTGTAAAATACTTTATTTTTGCTTGGAATTAATTTTCGCTATTTTCGCTGAAGTAATGATTCAGTGAAAATAAAATCCAGCGAATATACCTTTTTTCCTATATTTTACATTCAACTCATCAAAATTAGTGAAAATAAATTCCATACGAAACACCAAAAAAGTCTTTTCAGCGAAAATTAATTCCAACTAAAATAAAGTATTCTACAGTATTTATGACTGAGCTTTTGCTGTGGTTAAAATGAGGTAACGCATCATATGTTGAAAGCCACCATAGATAGCTGAAAAAAATGGCAAAAACTGGTGTCAGCAGTCAATGTGTTATATTTTAATGATCCAGTATTTATATGAATGTTATATTTGGTTTATGTGCGTTTCTGTTTTCGAGATGCACTTTAAAGCACACAAATATGGTTGGGACTAAATACTGAGCACAGTTTATGTATGTCGGTTTAAATGCTATGTTTTTTTATTTTACACAAAATTTGAGCCATGACCATACCATTTGTGGATTGTCACTTGTATTTTGTAAATAAACTTCAATTTTATTGATATAAATACAATTATTACAGAAATAATGTAGATATCGCTGAGAAAGTTAACTTTCTTGCATTGTTTCACGAGAGTAAAAAAAATGATAAGCCTTTAAGTTTATTGGGGCAAATGTTTTATGTCCACACATCATGACCCAACCCAATCATGCCACCCATCCATCCATCCATCCATACATGCCTAAAGCTGAACCATGTATCTTAGTAAGGTTAGAAAGATGTCAGTGTTTTTTTTTTTCTCTTTCAGTAAAGTACCATCATTTATACGACTCTTGGCTCCAAAAGGTTCCTTAGAAATCCAGGAAGAAGCATGGAATGCCTATCCCTATTGCAAGACTGTTATATCTGTGAGTACATGCAACTGTGATTTAATGTCATGCCATATTGTTCCGAACACCAAAACAGGAACATTGCGAGTTAACTTTATGACTTGATACTGTACGCGTCTCAAAATAGTTGAGGTATGTACATGCATGGAGGTAGAAAAGAGAAGGAGTGAGGACGCTATTGTTTCCGCTGCTTTCATGATGCTTTGGATTTGTTTACTCAGTACACATTGTAATTAGTTTGCAAATACGCTGTACAATGTCACAGTTAATCAGCTTACGTGTTTCGGCTGTATTCGGAAGCTTCATGAAGATTCTCAATGCACTGCGCATGCCCAAACAAATAACAATTATTAATAATACAAAATGCAGCGAAAAACGTACGCTGAGTGTACTCAACGCCCGAAATCTATTACAACAAAAGGCGCGATTTTCGACATCTGCACAGTTCTGCACACCAATGAAAAATGACGAGTCAAAACATCTTGTTATAATCTTATCATGTATCTTTAAATTTCACTGCGGAAATTTGCGAGAATTTTTTAATCAATGTCCAAAGTTGGACGACTATTGCGATAAAAAATATCAAAAAGAAGTAAGCACATATCTTGGTAGCGTCCGTATGCAAGAATTTCCGGTAATATCTACAAGTGTGAAATGACCTTTGTGGTCCGATAAAGGGTCATTGC